CTCTCTCTCTCTCTCTCTCTCTCTCTCTCTCTCTCTCTCTCTCTCTGTGTGTGTGTGTGTGTGTGTGTGTGTGTTGTGTGTGTGTGTGTGTGTGTGTTTATCAATCAAGCATATACAAACATCGGGCTGTGCACCCGTGCCCTCACGGTAAGTCAATACAGGTCGTTGATTCGGGCTCGTTTGGTCGTTGCAAGGTTAGAAAAATGCAAGCAGGTGCAGACACGACACTTCAGGGGGGGGTGGCAGTTTCTTTAAAATGCGGGACCGGTAGCTGCCCATGGGACCGCGCCCTGGGGTTTCGTCGAAACTGTGGCAAAGCAGCGGCAGGGTGGATCTTTGGGGGGGGGTGGCAGTTTCTTTGAAAAATGCGGGACCGGTAGCTGCCCATGGGACCTCACGCTGGGTTTTGGTCGAAGCTATGGCAAAGCAGCGGCAATGTGGAAAAGTTTGCAGCCCGTCAGAGTTCCCAGCCCGTCAGGGATTGCGTTTTCCCCCCTTGAGACATTTCAACGTCAATCAAATTTCAACGTCGGTGGTCGTTGGGAGGGTGGGCATTTTGAGGTTTTGGGCCCTTGGAAGGGCCAGGACCACTTAGGACCGGTAGCTACCCGTAGGAGGCCGAGGAGGCCACGGTCCTTTTTCGAAATTGAAACGGTGCGGGTCCACTTTTCTCGAATAGCAGAGTACCTCGAATAGAAATCGTACACGTTGTATTCGAATACAACGTGTACCATTTCTATTCAGATTTCGAAAAGAAATAACTCTTGTTCGCAGCCCGTCAGGGGTGCGTTTTCCCCCCATGAGAACATTTTTCGTCGTCGGTCATTATACGGTCGTTCGAAGGCTGTAAAAACAAGGCATGGCAATGTAGGTGGTGGTGGCATCTTCTTTGAAACTGCACGACTGGTAGCTGCACGTGGGACCGCACGGGTTTTGGTCCAGGACCGCGTAGGACCGGTAGCTGCACGCAGGAGGCCGAGGAGGCCACAGTCCTTTTTCAAAATTGAAACGGTGCGGATCCACTTTTCTCGAATAGCAGAGTTCCTCGAATAGAAAACGCACACGTTGTATTCGAATACAACCTGTACCCTTTCTATTCGGATTTCGAAAATAAAAAAATCTTGTATTCCGATAAAATTACTTCTTCTTTTTGTTGGAGGTCAGCGCTTGTCCTTGTGCTTCCC